TAGATCACTTTCCCGTCTAAAAATTTGCATATTTTTTTTAAAACGTCCGTACTCGGCACCCAGGCGTCCAAGCGGGATGAAATTAAAGCGGGAGGGTCGCGCATGATATAGGCACATGTCCCCAAAGTTTCAGCCTTCTAGCTTTTCTGGGTCGCGAGTTGAAAGTGGGTGACAAAAAGTGAGAACACACAGACACACAGACACACACACACACACACACAGCCTCTTCCCAATATGCGTTTTTGCAATTTACATATATGCAAAAAAACGCATACTACCAACATGTAAAAATATAGTTAAATTTTTTAATGGAGAAAAAGTGCGAAAATGCTGGTGGGCATGACATAGGGACAAGCAGTGCTCCTAACATGAAAAAAGCCCAGGGTTTGACTTGGCCAGTGAAGTAACTAATCCTTTTAAGATTCTGCTGGCAGTATGCTAAAACCATTCGTTACGACGGTAAATTGGTACTGCATGTGGTAAGGGGCCCAATCCGCCATCAGCTTATTTCCAAGCAAATCTCAGAAGAAAAAAACCAAGGTCTGCACTCCCAGCGGGTAATTACTGCTGGCAGTACGCTACAGCTACTTGGAATACTTTCTAAGCGCCTCCACTTCTAGTAGAAAATGTATGTGAAGGGAATTCTGATTTGAAGAAAAATTTAAGCTCCCTGATCCGTCTCATCTCCCGTTCCGTCCTTCCTCCTTCTCATCTTCCTCTTCCTCCTTGCTCTCCTTCTCCTCCTCAAGGCTTTGAGTTCTCGAGATGGATGTGCCATCAAAATTCTGTAACCGAATGCATACTTTCACTTCTCGAGGCTATTATTCACGATGGAAGGTATAAGCAGCTAAAATTTTGATTGCTACAGACTCCCAACACAATATCCTGCATTTCTTGAAATAAACAAATAATAAACAGAGTGATACTCGTTTAGCTGAAAATATGCGATTTTGGATTATCAATTAAGAGTGAACAGTTGGAAAACGAAAAAGAGATTCAACTACCAACGAAATGGCTGGCACCGGAGGCCATTAAATTAAGGCAATTCACTACCAAAAGCGATGTTTGGGCATTTGGTGTATTACTGTTTGAGATATTCACCGATGGCAATGAACCTTATCCTGGTGAAAATTCATTTTACTATCATTACACCGAATAAACTTTCGAAAAGAAGATATAAGTAGTGGTGTACAATAGTGCAGCTGATGGGGTTACGCGTTTGCGCAGCTGTGTTCAAGGAGGCTTGTGCAACCTTGTCCGGAACCTAGCTGTTGAAAGTGTTCGCTGCTTTATTGTTTGATATGTACAGAAATATTTGCAATTCCCAAATTATAAATTTTGACACTAAGGCTTTCATATACTCGTACATGAGAGCTAGGGGTGAGCTGGAGCGGAATTCATACGTTTACAAGGAGCATACTTCCGAATTTCAGCTTCCTAGTTTTTCTGGTAACTGGGACAATAATTCTCGCATCAAAAAATGCAAGTGCTCATTTGTGAGACAGAGACGGACGTGAAGTATGAATTAATGTTTTGCAGAGATTAGTGTTTTACAGATGAAAATCAAATGTTGAAAAATATGACCCGTCTGGTTGGGATTAAAAAAGCCCTTCCCCTTGCCCCTCCTTTTGTTGTTGAGGCTTATCGCTAGCAAAAGACTGAAGGGGAATATCCTAACATTTGCTTGTGTTGCAGTAGTTCTTCAGATATCCACGCAGTGATTATACTTTAATATTTTGATCTGTTCATTGTTTCGTGCTCGCATTTCTTTTTGTCATAAATGCAGCTCCTTCTTCGTTTGAACTTTCTTGCTCATGCAGCTGTTTACTCACGTGCATCTTGTCGTTCGTGCAGCCGTCCACATACATCTTTGCATTGCACAGAAGGTTTTCTCTGCTTTCTTTTAAAATTGCGTTGGTACCACTCAATAATCCGCTTTCTCCGTCCATTATCTCATTCTTGCCAAATGACCAAGCCGCAATACTTTGTTGTAAATGTGCTGCAAATTTAACCTGAACCAGTGCAACTATATAAGCACGAACTGCAGTAGTTAATTTGTTTACCAGGTCAATCCAATGCGGAAGTTCGCGAAAAGCTGACTGATGGCAGTTTATTTCGAATGGAAATACCGTTGGACATTCCTCCTGGAATCGCAGAACTGATCAAGAAATGCTGGCTGGAGGAGCCAAAACAGCGGCCAACATTCAGAGAAATCTATCGAACACTCACCAAAATTTCATTCCTCTAAAGTAAATACCCACGATACTGCTGTGTTTCTGGTTGATTAAATGAAACAAGACAGTAGCATGATTTGTGACAGGTATCCGTGTAATTTTAATAAAATTTAAAATCAGATTTTGCTTGCTGCAATTTTTGCATGCACACTCATGTGGTATTTGCATCTCATGCGCAAGCCGCTAGCTAAATTTCTTATGCTAAGCTGATCAACTGCTAGCAAAAATTAGAAACAACAGATGAGCAAAACGGATTATTGAGAATCATGGGCTGCTGAATTCTTCCTCTGCACAGCGCAACCTAGTGAATATGCACTGCGAGTAAGTCTCAGCCCGCTTTTTTAACGTCTTACTATTTTCACTCCCACAGAATTTCCTGTAAAACTATTAAGTTGTTTGCCGGTGGCAAAAACTCTCTGCTATTTGCTTGATTCAGCACGTAAAATCTTCAAGAGGTGCTATTCTAAAGCTCAGATGCTGCAACTTCTACTATGAGCGACACGGCTTTCGTAGCAGGCTGCACCGGAATTTCCAGAACCTACCACTGGTGCGCGAAACATAGAGCAATGAGAGCCTGGAAAACTTTTGTGAACGTCTAGAGCTGTTTACCTCTCTCCCTGTCCATAGAGGAGATATTTAGCTCAGGGTCTAATGGCCTAGCATAGCTATGTCCAGCATGCGCGAGCATTCCAGCAATGAGCATTAACATGGGTTCTTCACACCGACTGTCCTAGCTGTCTTGGTATTTCTGGCAGTCGCTAGCTACATCAAAAAGCCGGAGCCCTCTCCTTGTTTCACTTGATGATGAAGAAGGCAGGTACTCAGAAATGAGTCGAGTGAGACGACGCTGAGCAAAAACCATGCTCTGGCAAGATTGGCCCTTTAAAGTTTTTGTCAGAACTCCTCTTCGTAACTCATTTTCTACAATAAACAGGGGCTTTTGGAAATAACCTTTATTATTGATGGAAAAACGATAAAATTCAAGCTCACATGGTTATGCAAATTGTTTGGTGTGCATGGCCATGAGAACCTTGAAGAAGTACCGAACTCTGCATCCTACAGACATTCGTACAAGCAAATATTATTTTGTCATCGAACACGTCGTTAACTATTATTGTTTCAAAGAGAGCCAGCTTTGCCGGTAATACACAGTTCGACAAAAAAAAAAATCACCTCTTCGCTATACAGA